TTTGTCACGTGAAGACCTAAGCTCTATTTTCTTCATAGATTCTGCTGGGATACAACTTCTAATTCCTTTTGTAGCAAAGGATTTTCAAACTAGTCTTCACTTAACCTGACTCTTTGGTGATACATTCTAACGTCTCTTTTAAAGCTCCTCAAAGGAATGTATTGTGACGCATCTTCAACGAATATTTTCTTTTCTATTTAAGGAGCTAAAAACTTGAAGAAAAATACACCAATTGATACTCAAAGAGAAGTTACTCTGTCAACATACAAGCAAAAGCTGAACTTTGAATTTCTTATCCTTGTATATATTAGAAATCCCTAAGTCTTAAAAGAGTAAATTTGCTTTCTATTTTTTATACACCTCTGATTGTATATCAAATGTATTTTCCTAACAATTATTTATCTGCTAGGTAGATTGTTAAAAGTCTCTTACTAAGTGTTTGAGCAAATGATGTCTCTTGCTTGTGTGCTTGAGCATTGGAAGTCTCATACTTTAGTGTTTGAGCAAATAAAGTCTCTTGCTTGTGTGATTTAGCATATAAGTCTCTTACTTGAGTGTTTGAGTAAAGGAAGTTTTTTTCTTGTGTGCTCGAACAAATTGTAATCTTGTGTGATTATAGTGAAAATCTCGTGTAAGTAGAAGGTGTCTGAATTACTGTCAAGGTGTGAGAGGAACCAGAATAACCCTGCGTGTTATTCTTCTTTCTTGCATTTCATATCCACTGCCTACCTCTGACTGAATCAGATTCTACAACTTGTGTTTATAATCTGACCATGAGTTTAAAAACAAAGAAAAAGTAAACACAATTCAACCCTCCTTCTTGTGTTTTTCTCACCTTTAATGTCCAGGTCGAACTTATCTGACATGCGATTATAAGGAAGTCGAGGTTTACCTTTCTCTCCCGCACTCCTTTTCCAATCGTCAGTGTTAGATATATTGCTTCATGAGGATGAGTTATCGAATCGTTGAAGGCCAACTGGTCTCCTCTAATGTACAAATTCAAATCTCTCTAATATAGGCCTATCAACTCCAACGTGTCATCCACGAGGAATCCTCTCATGCTTCAATCGACGATGATGGTCGCGAGGATCCAAGGCAGATCGATGTTGAAAATTTCACTGATCTTTTCGTGTTCCAGAAAACCTAACTCCAATCAATCTTTTCTCTACTGAACATCCGTGATCGTCATTAGTAGAAGGCAATCTGACTTGGATAAGCGTTGGATGTTGCAACACTATGGAATTCATCGATCAGTGACAGCTAGTGAACGAATGGCATGGAACACGAAATGGATCTTGTGGACATGACTAACAAAGTTACCTCTTCTCCTCCCTCTACTTTCGGTAGATAACTCATATAAGATCGAGCGATATCTAGTAGTGGAATTTTGCAGGAATTAGAAGTTGATTCCCACACACAGCGCCACCGTTCCATTATTGAACCAAAATTAAATGCATTTAATGAATTAAGAATCCTAAATAGGTGGTGTTAATATCTGATATATTGGTGTGTGGGTGGACTTTCAAGGTTAACATTTCAACGTCCAAGTCAGTTTCAGATTCAAGATGAGTGTAGTAAAAAGTGAAAATCATAAAGTATACCTTAATTTTTGTGTGAAACGACTTTATAACTTGGGTCAAGTGGAGTAAATTTGTGCCTTGACCATTTGAGCATTTATTTGGCTTATATATAATTTAAATATGCCTTGACCATTTTACTTAAAAAAATATAATTCAAATATGATTTTAAAAATAAATTAAATGTTCATCAATTAGAAATATCATAATTGATAAATTAAATGACCTAAGGATTAAATTGGATAGTTTTAAAAAATAAATTTTAACAAATTATTAGTATATTATAGGCTCAAACCCACTTTTCTCCCTCTATTTTAATGTTTTTTTAACTTTTAGTCCTTCATATTAAAAATAAGCTTTTGAATCCCTCAATTTTATATTATTTGCGATTTTGTCAATCCCCCTCCAGTTTTGTATCGGTGATTAAGATAAAAAAATATTTTGACAATATTAAATGGGATCATTTATTAATTAGCATTTTTTTAATAATAAATTAATACTTTTTAATTCAAATTTTTTTTAGAAATTAATTACTTTCAATTCTTACGAATTTTTTTTGGACTCAAAGCCCATTTAGTTTCATCATGAACAAAATACTTATGTGATGGAAATGATTTACGTATGAAACAACTATATAAACACTAATGATCACTATTAGAAATACAGGAATTACATGCAGATTTTTCTATGGAAATTTATCCGCAAACGCACTTGCAATTTTACCAGCGAATTTATATTGTGAAACATTATTTCTTAGAAAAATTGAGGTAGCAGCAAAGTTTGCAGAAATTAACAAGAAGTGACACTAAACTTTGTTTCCCCAACACACCATAAAATGAACTTTCATCACAATCTTTTATCACAATATATTTTCCTTTCTATCACAATATTTAAACTGTTAATGATGAAAAAATCACTATGAAATGCTATAATTTAGTTAGCGATCACGTTACTGCAACAATCCTTTTGCATATGTGCCCTTTTTCATTCTAGTTGGCAGTTGCTTCATTTTATGGTAAACCCAGGTCCCGTTCCATCTCACTACAACATTTTCCTTTTTGACAACAACTTAAAAATGTTTAGAACTATGAATAACGTTATCTAAGAGAATATGAGACCTTTTTCAATTGTCCTCTGTGCGAGCATTGCCTAAAAATAAGGTGACATTTTTAATCTCTCTTTAGCTATACTTTCTAAAATCGTCGACTAAACTATAGAAAAGGGGACGTTTTTCGTGAAGAATCTTAAGAAACATTTTAAATTGTTGTTATAACTTACAAGTGCTACAAAATGCCCCCTAAAAGTGGTAAAGTGAAAACAATTTATGGAGACATTTCTCAAATGTTGTTATATCTGACAACAATTAAAATTTATTTCCAATGAAATATTTTTTTACCGTATTCTCCATAAAACAAACTATAACAAGAATTGTCAAACATAAATTGCTTGTATCAAGGAAATTGGGTTAATAAGTTTTTTAAATATTGACTCAAATACACATAAGAGAGAATTTTTAACACTACTTAATAGTTAGAGTATTAAGTCTAACAAAATAAGTATAAGTCTAGTAAAACGACAACAAACATAATTCACATGACTATAATGGAGAGTTGCAACGTGAAAACCACGCCACTAAATAATTAAAATAATAAAACAATGAACGTCCGATTTTCACAAGGAGACTTTTAAATATATATGACTAAGATGTATGACTATATATATAAAAATGTACATAAACCACAATATACATATATAATGTATCAAGTGAAAATGCTTTTCTTATGTGAAAATGATAAGAATGAGAAAAAAATCATTACATATTAATATGTACGACTAAGATGAGTATTTAAATGAATCATGTGCTAAGACATAAATATTAATTTAAATAGTTTAAGGAACGAAATTAAGACATGTGATTGACACGTGATTCACTTAAATACTCATCTAATCTCAGTCGTAGATATTAATTCAATAGTCTCTATTCATTCTTACATTTTTCTTATCATTCTCATTTGATATATATATATATATATATATATATATATATATATATATATATATATATATATATATATATATATATATATATATATATATATATATATATATATATATATATATATATATATATATATATATATATATATATATATATATATATATATATATATATATATATATATATATATATATATATATATATATATATATATATATATATATATATATATATATATATATATATATATATATATATATATATATATATATATATATATATATATATATATATATATATATATATATATATATATATATATATATATATATATACATTACATTTGAGATTAATTGAAATAAATTGTAAGTGTACAATTATTTTACACGGTCATTCAATTAAAATAAATCATTTTGACACATAACTATAGAATTAAAAATTAAAAAATGTAAAATTATAATTAAATTATTTTAATAACTACTTCTTTTACGTTTCTATCTTCTCACGTGTCAAAATGATTTATTCTAATTGAATGACCGCGCGTAAAGTAGTTTTACACTTATAGTATATTTCAATTAATTTCATTACATTTTTACATGTATTATATTTTAAAAATCTAAATATATATAAAAAATGAATAATTGAAGATATTTTGACATATATTACTAAATGAAAATAGAATATATATGTTTATAATAGAAAATATTTTTTTAGTGTTTATATATGTTAAGTAACAAGTGGGGAAAAAATTCTTTAGTGTTTATATATTATTTAGTAAAAACATAATATATATGTTTATAATAGTAAAATTATATATATATATATATATATATATATATATATATATATATATATATATATATATATATATATATATATATATATATATATATATATATATATATATATATATAATATAAATTTTTTAAAAATGTAATATATTAATAAACATTGAATTTATTATTATTTTAAAATAGAATAAGTTTATCATTTAAAAAATATATCACTAAATTGTGACGTAAAATTCACGTGACTATCTAATTCACACTAAAAATTATAGGTGATGTAATCTATTTTTTAAAAATGTGAATATCATGCTACAATTCCGTAATATATTTTTCAGATAACAATGTAGTGCAATTTATTTTATAATTAATGACATGATTATAATATAACAACTTAATAACGTGTATTTCATGTGACAATCAATTACCATAAATATTTTTGCGATGTGTTTCAATCGCATCTTCAAATTTTATAAAAATGCATCCGATTTACAACCCCTCATCTATAACCATGTCATATCACAACGCCTTGAAACGATGCCTTGAAGATTTTCACAAATTAAAACAGATACATATATAAAGAGAACACCAATTCACCTTTCTTACACTTTTTCGAATTCAACTATATACACAAATCAATTAAAACATACTCGATCCGTTACGAATGACACAGCTTCTACTTTGTGAAAGAAGGGGATTGACCTTCATAATGATATCACCATCATCATATCCAGACACAAACTCCTCGTCGAATTCATCTTCTTCCTTGATTGTTGGCATTCCGACACTGCGACTTCTCGGAGTAGGCACATTCTTTGCTTCCACACCAACATCAACTCCACTCCCACCTGGTCTGATCTTAAGCGACGCAGTCTTCACAAGCTCCTTGAAGTCATCGCCACTTGAACTTGAGGAGGCTGTTGTAGAGTATACCCTGAAGCTCTCAGGATGAATGAAGCTATGCTGCATAGGATACCCTGTATCCATACCGGCCATGCCAGTAGAGCACCGGATCATGGCGCGGACATACATGTCCTTTACCTTTATCAACATCTTGAAAGGTGACTTCATGTACCTCATCGCCTTGGTTCCTCTGCTGCTCGCCCTATCTGTCATGTTGCAACTATAACTTTTTAATATGAAATATATGAATTTATAGACACCTTTAAATCTATTATTATAGTGTTTCATCAGTTAAAGTTTACTGAGAAATATTTAGATACTGACTTATCCTAAAGTGTGAGAAATTCTTTAAATAAAAATGAAGTTTCCATATAAAAATTTAGGAAAAAATATATTGACGCCACTTTATAACACCTGTAACTTTATACGCAATACATACTAGTTTTATTTTTTATAATTTATTTATTTTAGTTTTTGTGCAAGACCATTATAATTTGTTGTTATATACGAAATAGGATATATTGATGTATAGAAAAAGGTGTAAAAATAGGATAAGCTAAAAAATTTACTATAAAATAGTTATAATTTTGGTAAATCGTACTTTTTTAGACCGTTCTATATATATTCTTGGTCAATTATACTTTTTAGATCATTATAAATATTCGATTTCGATTTAAATTACTTTAATTTTGAAACCAAGAATTATTATCATCAATTGACGATGTAAAATTTTCTATTGCAAATGAATAAAAGTTAAACTCTTTTATAATGACTAGAAGTTAATAATAAATAATAGTTATTTTTATTTTATTAAAATATTTTTAATTGTAAAATAACATAAAACAATATTATTCAATGATCTTCACAAAAATTATTTTAAAAAATGTGAATATTATAATTAATTGAATAGAATAGAAAAAATTAATAATTTAAAAATTAAAGAGGGAAAGATGTGTTTGAAAATAAAATGAGTTAATAATGGTGGAAGTGATTATTGGAGAGATTTTTTATAAACAATAATGTATTAAGAGAATACGGGGAGTATAAGAGATATTCAACCGTAATAACTGGAGATTCAAAGAAAAAAGAATAAAAAAAAAACCAAATGACAATAAAAAATCAAATGGGTTTGTGGTAAAATAAAAAGAATTTAAAATTAATAAAAGTAAAAAAAACACCATTATAATTTATGTCAAAATTTATTTATTTTAACGATTTATATGAATTAGAATTTGAAATCAAAATATTATATAATAATAATAATAATAATAATAATAATAATAATAATAATAATAATAATAATAATAATAATAATAATAAAGTATTATATTTATTACATGTGACTAGAGCTGATAAAATGAGCTATCCGATCTTAAGCGTGTCGGTCCTAATGCGCTTGGACTTTTAGGGTGGAGGCAAAAAAAAATTATTTTTAATATGAGCTCGAAAATTATTATCTGAACTCGACCCTAAATGAACTTCAGACTACTCAATCCTAAACGGGCATTTTAATAAAAATTTAAAATAAAAATGTCATAATATTTATTATAAATAAAATTAAAATTTATATTATTTTAAACATAATACATTTTAAGTACTAATTTTATTAATATTATAATGTGTTTTTAAAGACTATACATATCTAAATTATATAAAATAATACTTGAATATTTAACATAAGAGAAAAACTTATAGAATACGAGAAAAGAGTGTTGATTATATTAACGTATAATATTTAAAAGAGAAAAATTGATTAGAATATATATAAAATTTAGTGAGATGAAAAAAATCAATATGTTATTTTAGAATAAGATAATATAAATATTAATATAATTTTTTAAAATTTATAATAATATAAGCTTAATGGGCTACACACGGTCCATATGAACTAACCCTAATAAAAAAACATGTACTTTAATTTTAAAGTTCAAGTCCTATGACTTTTTGGGACAGACAAACCGACTCATATAGACTAACCCATTTTGACGCTTTAGCTATGACAACAAATACTTCAGTTTTATTTGTTAATTTGCTCTCTTAAACAATTATACATATAATTGTAATAATTAAAATAATAAAGAATAGAAATTTTATGTGACAATAAATACTTCATCTTATTTCTTTAATTCCACCTCTCTCACAATACAACACAACTTTTTCAACAACATAATTACTAAAAAGAAAAATAATATCCATACACCACAAAAATACATCTGTATTGTATTTCACTTTCACTAATATGGTGAACAGTAAAATATTATAATAATTTTTTAAAAATATAAAATATTATAATAATTTTTTAAAAATATAAAAAATTATTATTTTAATTTTTTTAGATTAAAGAATATTGATATAAAATTGTATGATTAACCAACTTCATAATTTTATTAATCAACATTTTACATTTTATTAGTCAACTTTGTTTATCATTAAAAGTTATTATTAATTTATAGACTTTTATTAACCAACTTCATAACTTTATTAATCAAATTTTGAACTTTTATTCACTAACTTTAGTTTTTGGACATTCATTAATCAACTTTATCACTTAATTAATTAATTTTTATATTTTATTAAGTAACACTGTTTTACTACTTAAAATCACTATTGACGGGTACTCTTCATGGGGCACTGTTCGCGTGGTTTTATAATATTGTTCACGCACTGCTCTCATACTGTTTATTTAAAAATTATTATTCACCGTATAAATATAATGAACAATGTATATAGTGTAAATATTTGGTATAGTGTAAATATTTGGTGTCATAATGGGTATATGAATGTCATTCCTGTTAGTGCGTGAGACACTTTTAGTGGGGAGAGAAAGACAGAATAAAGAAATAAGGATTGATATTATTGAATGATTTGTTACAAATAATGATACATACTATGATTATTTATATACAACCCTAATTGGGCTTGAGCTAATACAACTTGGATTACATTTAAATATTAAATCTAATCAAATCTAATATAATCTAATATTTTAACATACCCCCATAATCCAAGTTGTCGAACTCATGCTAATCATAGACAATCTGAACTATTCATAATTTCTTTCTCAAATTCAGGACTCTATCGATCTTCAATCCTTTGGTGAAAATGTTGGCCAACTGTACTTCACTTGAACATTCACTTTACTCCGATAGCTTTTGTATGAGCTGGGAATTCTACCAACTCCCATGTGTTATTTCTTTCAATTGCTTGTAACTCTTCGAGCATAGCAGACTTCCATTGTTTATCTTTGAAGGGTTCTCTATAGTTGATTGGTTCAACACCTGCAAGTAAAGCAAAATGGACTAGTTCCCATCTATTGTGACTTCATAATCACCAACTACTTCATAGTCTTGAAGTCTTGTTGAACGAGCTCTATTTCTTTGAGGTCTCTGACTTATGTGAGTCATATCCTCTCCGACTTCGACTATGTCGAGAATGTTAGCAACTGATTCAACTTCTTCTTTGATTGGAGTATAAACAATGTCTTCGACTTCGACATCTTTACTTGCTTCGTTGAAATCATAGCTCATTAGTGGATTGTCAATTGCATTACTAGAAATCCAATCCTAGGAAGAATTTTCATCAATCACAAAGTCTCGACTCATTACAACCTTCTGATTAATTGGATTGAATAACCTGTATGCTCCAGTCTTATGATATCCTACCAGAATCATAGGTTCACTCTTACCATCAAGTTTCCTTCTCCTAGCATCAGGAATATTCTTGTAGCAAATAGAGCCAAACACCTTCAGATGACTCAGTGATGGTCGTTTTCCACTTCACACTTCTTCAGGAACCTTGTTCTTCAGCTTCTTGGTAGGGCACTTGTTCAGAATATAAACAACAGTCGAAACAGCTTCTCCCCATAAGGATTTGGGAAATTCTTCTACTTCAGCATACATCTCGCCATGTTCAATATTATGGTCCTGTTTCTTCTTTATTCTATTCCATTATGCTTAGGAGTATAAGGAGCAGTTATCTCACAATCAATAACATGTTCTGCACATAATGCTTCAAATATCCTGGATGTGTATTCTCCACCTCCATTTATTCGCAGAACTTTAATTTTCTTTTCACCCTGGTTTTCGACAAGTATCTTGAATCTCTTAATGATTCCAAATACTTTGTCCTTTCGTTTGATCACATAGATATAGAGATTTCGACTGTACTAATAAAAAACGTATGATATATTAATTAATTAATGAGAAAATAAATAATTATGAATATATATATATATATATATATATATATATATATATATATATATATATATATATATATATATATATATATATATATATATATTCATAAAAAATACATTAAAAATATTGATGTTTAAATTATTACAATTCACAACTCCTATACATATGTATATTATTAATAACAAGAATTAGTTATATCAGCCTTGCTATTTAGATATCCTTAATAAAAATTTGATAGGAAAAGGAGAAAATGAAATGTGTATAGACTTTTGCTTTTTGGTTGTTCTGTGAAGGTTTTTATTTGAGTTTGATTGATTGGTTAAATTTGTTACTTAGCTTTAGTAATACTACTATCTAGTCTAATTACAAGTTATATAGAAAGTTAAAATTATTTTCCCTTGAATTTGCAATGAGCACTAGCTTTTAATTTAGAGACCCATTGTAATTTTAAAGGCTTTTTGCAGTGGACCAGGCTGCACAGGGGTATAACCGGCCCTGCATTGAATAAGCAATATATTTTGACAAAATATAGACCAAATACATTAGTTAGTGAATAAATCTAAAAAAACAATTTTTTTCTTATAAATAGGAGTAGAGATAGTAATTGAAAAGGTGATGATGAAAGGTGATGACTGTTGCGGCGAGAAAAAATTTGAGATTAAGCTATTGATTAACATAACTCGAAAATCAAGAGTCGCCATCGAACTTTATAGTTTCTAAAGACAAAAGGGAAAAGGTCGAACGAAACCCACAAGAGAAAAAAAAAGAGAATATGGATACGTGGGTTGGTTATGCAAGGGGAAGGTATTAACACCCCTCACATCTATTGTACTCAACGAGAACCACTTGCAAATTTGTGTTTATAAAAAAGTTGGGTTGTTTGTTGATTGATTTTAAATGAAAATACATTTCGTCATATTCGAGGGGAAAACTCAACTTACTACCCACAAGTATGAGGAAATGAGCATTTGTATCATCTTGATATGGAGAACTTTAAATGAAAATAAATTTCGT